CCCCCTCACATCCCCCAGGACAGGGCTGTACCCTCCCCCTCACATCCCCCAGGACATGGCTCCCCCCTCAGATCAGCCTCTCCCCTCCTCTCCACCCAGGTTGCCAAACTCGGCCGGGCCCTCCACCTGCAGCTCTGCTCTCTCCGGATCCCCCAAGCCAAGGAGAAGGTCCTGAAGACCATCACCTTGCTGGCACACAGCCACATGCCTGAGCTGGCAGCCACCTTCCTGGACATCTCCATCCCTCTGGACAGGTGCCCTGCCCTCTCACTGGCCCCTCATCCTTCCCTCCGCCCCCACTCTCTCCTCCAAGCTCTGCTCTCACAGTCCTGGGACCCCAGCAGGCAGTGACCCACAGATGGGCAGGGCTGGCCTCTTTTGATCCATCCATCATCCACATAGAAGGCCTGTCCAACCTTCCTCCCCTCTCACCGTCACCCTGTTTGACCATTTATCTTTATTTGGCTGCGGGCATGAGCCCATCTCTGTATCTTTCCCTTCCTGGAACCCTTGTGGTCTGGCCTACACCTGCACTCATTACATGGGCCCATTAATCCCGTCACAGGGACCTGTGCACCGACAGGCGTGGTCCCGCTCCTGTCAGCATCGCATGGTCACGTGTGCCTCCTTACATTCTGAGTCTCTTCCTGTATCACATGTGCTCTTTGACCTGGAGCGCACATGCGTGTTTGAGGACGGCTTGGGTGCTGGGTGCCGCTGAGTCATTCCCACTCAGAGCCCCCCATGTCCAACGAAATGCAGTCCTGAGCCAGCCTCACAGTCTCTGTGCCAAGACCCATTTCACCACTGTCACCATCACTGCGTCAGGCCATCTCCCGGGGTCTTCCGCTCCCTCAGCGGCTCTCTATCTTTCCAAGTATGATGACACCCAAAGTGTGGAAGGCAGGCTCCCCAGCCTTGCTGAAAAGGGGCACACACACTGCGCTTGTTCACGGAAGATTTGCGTGTTGTTTTGGCATCTGTGATGTGTGCCATGTGCTTCACCAATGTCAACTCAAAGGCATCCCTTCCACCCTGGTGTTCCTCATTCACTGTTCACCTCACATACTCAGACTACGCAGTGCAGCATCAGGGCTTGGGCCGGGCACGTCTCAATCTCTAAACCGAAACCCTGGCTCTGGAGCGATTTAAGAAAGTCCCTGACAGCAGAGCTGCTTGGTTAAAGACTTCTTTCTTTGTCTGGGTTTTTATTCATTCACTACTGCACATTTTTCTCCCCCCTCTTCCTTTTGCCTTTTCCCCAGTTCACTTTTTTAAAAAAATGGTCATTCATCATTGCACAATTTCCTCCCCACCCCCACTCCCTCAGTCCACTTTGCAACGCACCTCGTATTCTGGACTGCTGTCATCCAAATAATGCCTAATCATCTATTCTTTTTAAACAGCTCTTTCCTTCATCTGCTCCAATCAAGACTTCTTTTCATTCCTTGATTATCGCTTCCATGGGGTTGATTGTGGGTTCAAGTAAAATTAAACCCTTGACAACTTCATTCTTTTCTCCATCTATCATGATGTTGCCTCTTGGTCCAGTTGTGGGGAATTTTTTCCTAATGATGTGTAATTCATACTGAAGGCTTTGCTCTTTAATATTCTTCAGTAAGAGCTTCAAGCCCTCCTCTTGTTCTGAAAGCTAGGTTGTGTCGTCTGCATTACACAGGTTGCCAATGAATCTTTCCCCAAAACTGATGCCACCTCCTCCTTCATATAGTCCAGCTTCTTATATTATTTGCTTAGCGTACAGATTGAATAAGTGTGGTGAGATGGGTATGGCGTGACTCACACCGCTCCTAATTTTAAACCGTTCAGGTTCTCTTGTTCCACTTGAATGACTCCTTGGTTCGTGTCCGTGTTCCCTGTGAGCACGCTTACAGCTCTGGAATCCACATTTTCTGTGCGGCTATTCATACTTTGCTAAGATCCACAGAGTTCAATGCCTTTGCATCAGCAACGTCTTTCTGGTACTCTCTGCTTTCAGCCAAGATCCATCTGCTCTCAGCAGTGATAGCCCGTCTTCCACAGCCTCTTCCGAATCAGCTGCAATTTCTGTCCACACCCTGTGGACTTCCAGCACTAGCCATTTTTAAAAATAATCTTCAGCAAGATTCTACGTGTTTTCTTGTTAATATTGTTCCATGCTTTACAGTCTGTTAGATCACCTTTCTTTGGAATTTGCACAAATCTGAATCTCCTCCAGTTAGCTGACCAGGCCTTCCAAATTTCCTGACATGGCTACAGAGTGAATCCATGGCTGCATCTGTTTGTTCCAACACTTCGATTGGTATTCTGTCACTTCCTGGGCCTTACTTTCTACCAACACCTTCAGTGTAGCTGGGACTTCCTCCTTCAGTACCACTGGTTCTTGATCATATGCTACTTCCTGAAAGAGTCTGATGTCAGCCAATTCCTTTTTTATATAGGGGTGCTCTGTACTTCTTTACTCTCTTTTTGATGCTTCCTACATCATGCAATGTTTTGCCGATAGAATCCTAAAATACTGAAACTCAAGGCTTAAATTTGTCCTTTGATTCTTTCTGCTTGAGAAATGTCCAACATTTCTCCCCTCTTGGTTTCCTAACTCCGGTTTCTTGCACGTTTGTTTTAGTGCATGGTTTTGTCTTCTCCAGGTGCCCCTTGGCATCTTGTGTTCAGCTCTCTCATTCCCTCCTTCCCTTTTGCTTCTCCACATTTACAGCATGTATCCGGGTTTCTTCTGAAATACATCTTGGTCTTTTTTTTTCCTTTCCTGTCTTTTTTAAGATCTTTCGCCTTCTTCATGCCTGTTGTCCTTGATGTTACTGGAAAACCACGGTTCTGCTGGGCTGCCACCGTAACACCCAATCTTGGAGGCAGGGATTGGAGTGAAAAAAGCAGGTTATATATACTGCTGTATGGAGAAAAGGCTGCAAACTTTCCGAAGCTGTCTCAGGGAGGCTAGGTTCTGAGAGAGTACTTGTAGGTTAGATTATTTAACACTTTTAAGAGGGAAAGATGGGATTATCTGAGAACATGACAAATCTGGAAGTGCACCCAGATAGCCTGAGTGGTGTCTCTCCAGTTAGGCTTCACAGGACACATGCTGGTTTTCTTCTTTCAGGGTGACTGTCCTCTAGAAGGCCACACTGGTGTCCTGGAAGGGCATCTCTTTCTGAAAACTAAAAGCAGCAATTGTTAGCAAAGTCTGGAGTCATTAACAAGGAGTCTGTGTATCATTTGGAAGTCAGTTGTCTTGACCTGGACTGTTTTAGGAGGGACATAGTTTGCTAAGAACGAAAGGTAGTTTTGTTCAGTACATTATGTGAAGATAAAAGCAAAACAGAAAGAGGAAAGTTGTGATGCCAAGAACACCCAGTAGTAATTTAGTTAAAGTTGGAAAGCAGCTGGAGTGATGTCTCACAGTTTGGTTTTTATTTTCTCTTCTGTGGTTGTTTTTGAAAAGGAAGACGACTCGCACTTGCTGTGTATTAGTTTCTTTCCTCTGATTCTAAGCAATAGTTGTGTGGATGTGCTAATATTTTTGCTATTGGAATCCAAGCTCAATAGCACCCTCTTCTGTCACAGACTTTAGTAGGTGTGTGTGTGTGTGTGTGTGTGTGTGTGTGATGGGGCAAAAGGCCATGTTCCTTGGAGATGTTCTCTTTTCTCTTTAATAAAACTCCATGAAATTTTGTTTCTTAGTGTGGAAATTTGGGACCATGGCTTCATGAGGTTTCCCAGTCTGCGTGTGTGTGTGTGTGTGTGTGTGTCTGTTTGTATCTGTGTGTGTGTGTCTCTGTGTGTGTGTCTTTGTGTGTGTGTCTTTGTGTGTGTGTGTCTCTGTGTGTGTGTGTCTGTCTGTCTGTCTGTGTGTCTCTCTTCCTCTCTCTACATACATGTGTACTATCGAGCTGGAACCAACCCATCGCTGATCCTCCAGCGAGTTTTCAGAGACAGTTAATCACACAAGAGGAGATTGCCCGTTTTTCTCCCCCAGAGCACAGGTGGATTTGAACTACATGCCTTTGAGATTACAGTGCAGTTTTTTTACCACTAGGCCAACAGAGCTCCCTTCTCTCAACAGATAGATAGATAGATAGATAGATAGATAGATAGATAGATAGATAGATAGACAGATGGATGAACAGACAGATGAATGGATAGAGATGCATAGATATATTTCCAGTTGAGAGTGATCGCAGTCCTCCCTGGTGGTGACTAGATCAGTCCCAGCCCTGTTGCAAGCTCCTCTCTCCTATTATTTTTATTAGATTCCTGTAGTTCTTCAAGGAAGTACTAGGAGCTGAGGACCTAGGCAACACCACGTCTCCGCTGCCCCCGGTGGAGTTCCTCTCCTGTTGGAATTTATCTCTGTCTCATTTCCAAGATGCACATTTTTCACATTTAGCATCTCACCTCGACTGCATTTTACAGGGAAGGCCTCTTATGTGGATTTATTCTAGGCTTCTGCCTGTCACCTTGGGGCACTGCCATCTCTTTGAAAACAATTTAAACTTAAACGCCTCAGTTTGAAGATTCTTAGGCCACACTGTGAGGGTGAATTCAGACCGAGACAGGGAGCTTTGTGGTTCTGGTTCTCAAGAGAAGTCCTCCTCCCCCAACTGCCCTGAGGAAGCGAGCAGGGCCCCTGAGCCCTGACTGGGTGGTCTTTGGGGGGCAGGCCCTCTGCAAAGTCCCCAGTTAGTCTCATCTTGAAGGATTTGAAGGACAGCAGCTGCCCCCTGCAGGTACAAACAAGCCTGTGCAGCACGTGCCCTTCCGGGATGTTCTGTAGCGTGGCGCTTTGTTAAAACCTATCCGTGCTCCTTCGAGTTAAGCGGTGGTGTGCCATTTAGCTGGAACCGGCTCATAGCTGACCCTCCAGCAGGTTTTCAGAGGCACAGGAGGAGACCACTCATCTTCCCCTCATGGAGCAGCTTGGAGATTTGAACTGCCTGCCTTCAGGTTGGCAGTGCAGCTCTTTATCCACTAGGCCCCCAGAGCTCCAGAGTTGTAGTACTTTTCGTGTTCTCTGCTCCTTAGTATCTGTCGTAGTTATTTGGTGCTTCTACAATGGAAGTGCCAGTGTGGATAGCTTTGACAAACAAATGAACTTTCTCAAGTGTGGGAGGTAGTTGTTTTAGGCATTGTCAACTCCACTCCTACTTGATGATGTCCAGCAGTTGGACACCTGCCTGCTCCATGCTCCCCATACCCTCTGCGCTTGAACCCACTGTAGTGGTCACTCTCTCTCGGAGGCAGTCCTTCTTGTCTATCGGGTCTCCTTCTCTGACCCTCTACCCTTCCAAGCATGAAGGCTCTTTACAGGGACTTGACCCCTAATAACGTGTCCACAGCGCCTGGGATGAGATGTCGCCCTCCCTGCCTTTAGGTAGCACACAGTGCTCTTCCTGAGACAGACTGCTTCGTTCGGTCGGTAGTCTGCAGCATCCGTACTCTTCACCAACAACACAAGCCAAAGACTCGTTCGGTCTCCTTAATTCATTATCTGACTTTCAAAAGCATATGAACCAATTGAAAAGAACAGGACTTGAATCAGATGCACTTTAGTCTTTAAGGAGGTCTCCTGGTTCCTCACGGGCAGGCTGGGAGTCTGAATTTAGGGCACTGGGTCTAGGGACACGTTCTCTCCGTCAGCACTGTGGGGAGGGTCTTGTCTCTTCAGCCTTTGTCTTCTGGCTCCGAGGAGATCTCCACACAGTGTGGCTTCGTCTGTACACAGTGTGGCATCCCCTGTACACAGTGTGGCATCGTCTCCACACAGTGTGGCATCGTCTGTACACAGTGTGACATCATCTCCACACAGTGTGGCATCGTCTGTACACAGTGTGACATCGTCTCCACACAGTGTGGCATCGTCTCCACACAGTGTGGCATCGTCTCCACACAGTGTGGCATCGTCTCCACACAGTGTGGCATTGTCTGTACACAGTATGGCATCGTCTTCACACAGTGTGGCATCGTCTCCACACAGTGTGGCATCGTCTTTGCTCTGTTCACACACTTGTAGTTGTTGGATGCTGTTGAGTACGACTCATAGCAACCCTGTGAACAGCAGATCTGTCCTGTCCTGTCGTGCGCCGTCCTCACCATCCCTGACACGCTCAAGCCCCTTGCTGCAGTCACTGTGTCGATCCGCCTGGTTGAGGGTCTTCTGCTTTTTCACCGTACCCCCCACCGCCCCATCTTCCCAAGCACAAGGTCCCTCTCCAGGGAATAGCCTTTCCTAGCAACACGTCCCATCTTTGCCTCCCAGGAGCACTCTGGCTATTCCTTCTCCAAGACAGATCTGTCTGTCCTCTTGGCCGTCCATGGGGTAGTTAGTGCTCTTCTCCAACACCACAGCTCAAAGTCATCGATGGTTCTTCTGTCATCGGTATTCATTGTCAGCTCACAACAGCCTGACATGGTCTGAATCAGCGTCTGATGGTGCTGACTACCTCTCCTTCATAAATAGAAAGCCTAATTAAAAACAAAAAAGTTTTCATTATTACGTCTTAATACTATCAAGAGAGCTCTGGTGGCATACTGGTAACAAGTTGTGCTGGCAACCCAAAGGTATGTGGTTCGAATCCACTAGTTGCTGCGAAGGAGAAAGATGGATAATCTCCCACGCGATTAACTCCCTCTGAAAACTCACTGCAGGGTCATCCTGGGTCCCTTTGGACTCCACAGTACACAACATTACTATCATATCTTTATAAATCTCATCTTCATCTTTGAGGGTTGGAAACATTATATCTGAGAACCAATGTTGTTGTTATGTGCTGTCAAGTTGCTTGAGACTCATAGCGACAAGAGCCCTAAACCCTGCTCTATCCTGTGCTAACATTACTGTCTCTGACACACCTACCCCCACTGCCCCAGTGACTGAATTAATCCATCTCATTGAGGGTCTTCCTCTCTTGCGCTATTTCTCCACCCTCCCAAGCATGATGTCCCTCTCCAAGGACCAATCCCTCCTTGTAACATGTCCAAAATATGTCAGATGACACTTAAGAATCCTTGCATCCAAGGAGCAGCCTGGTTTCACCTTCTCCAGGACAAACCTGTTTGTTCTCCTAGCAGTCCATGGTATATTCAACACTCTTCTCCAGCACCACAGCTCAAAGGCATCAATTATCTTTCTGTCATCCCTAGTCATTGTCCAACTCTCTGATGCATAGCACGTAATTGCAAAGACTATGGCCTGGATCAGGTGTACCTTCGTCTTCAGACTGATGCTGTTGCTCTTCTGTACTCTGGAGAGGTCCCTGACAGCAGACTTTCCCAATGCAATTCATCTCTTGATTTCCTGGCTGATGATACCAAGAGTGTTGATTGTGGAGCCAATTAAACTAAAACTAGTAACAATCTCAGTGTCTTCACCATCCATAATGATGCTTCCAGCTGGCCCAGTGGTGAGAAAATATCGCCAGTAAATTACAAGCTTCAACGTTTTATATAGTTACTAAAGAAGGAGATCCTTTGACTGTGTCCCCTCTGTTGCACTTGACAGACACTACGTTTCCTGGGAAGGGAAGGTCTGTGGCAGCCCTCACTGCAGCAAGTCTGTCTGCATGTGTGGCCCACAGCATGTGCTCTCTTCCTGTCTCTGTAACCCACCTGGGTCATTTTCACACTACTTGAAACTTTTCCATAGTCCTACTGCACATCTGATAAACTCCCCACTCGTTCACTAGAGTGGGGCGAGTCATCGAGTCCAACTGAGGACAGTACTCTTCGAAACCGCAGCACAAAGGCATCAGTTCATCTGTCGTGCTCACGTGTTTAGTCTCTTTCATACCTCAGGATAGGTCAACTCGTCAGAGCCAGCCTCCTCCTGATAATGAATGCAAGAAAAACAACAACTCCTGAACGGGCTGGTAACCCCTGGCTGGTTGTTGTTGTTGTTGTTGTTGTTAGGTACCATTGAGTCTGTTCTGACTCACGTGGCCCGGTGCACTGCAGCAAAAACCCCTGCCCAGTCCTGTGCCTCCCCAGTGTCACTGCTGGGCCTGAGCCCGATGTCCTGCTGTGTGTCAGTCCATCTCGGTGCAGAGCGCCCTTCTCTTTGGCTGACTCCCCAGTGTCCTTCTTTGGGGAGTCATCCCTCCTAATAAGACGCAGAGTGTGTGATAGGAATTCCCCCCTCAGCAGCCAAAACCAGAGGAGGATGGTCAGAAAGGACAGGTGAAGCCCAAAACTGAGAGGGAGAGACAATGGTGGGGGGGAGAAGCAGCTGGCTGCTTTTCTTTCCAGATGGGTTCGTTTGTTCTTCTGGCAGCCCAAGGTGTGGGGTGTGGGCACTGTTCTTTGTCAACACAAGACAGAGGTTAGGATTGATAACACTTGTTTTGGGAGAGCGGCCTCATCCATCAAGCGGTCCTTCTAATGAAGGACAGTCATCTCCTGTGGATGGATGTGTGGGCGTTGGATGCTGAGAAGCAGTGCCCTGCCCTCTCACAGCGTGCCCCCTGCACACGTGCACACAGTTTCTGTGTGGATGGAGGACTACACCTCCAGGGGAACTTCTTAGCCACACGCACGAGGGGTCACCCCATGTGACAGTGTTCCTGGACACACGTGTGACAACTGAGGACAGAGTGGACAGAAACCCTGCCCTGTAAGCATGGGCACTCCTCTCAGTGTCTCTCAGAGACTCTGCCTTCCTCCCTTTGCAGTGGGGACCATGAGGCTCAGAAAGGGTCAGCAGCTCACCCAAGGTCACACAGCCATGCCAGGCAGGCCCAGGATTTGAACACAGAACCTTCTGCTTCCAAAAGCTTGTTCTTTCCAGTTGAATCCAGTGATGATATCTAGGAACTTTCTAGAGCCCTCAGCACCCATCCAGCCCAGAATCAGATAAAACTGGAGTGATTTTCCCCAGGGCTCAAGAGCGACCCCCTTGATTCTTAAACTTGGATGTGGGGTTCCTGCAGGGCCTCCAGCACCTGCACCCCAAGGCCTCTCCAGCTCGAGTGCCTTCAACAAATACTGACCTAGAGCAGGAAAGAAGGGCCACCACCAACTGTCATCTCGGGGCACCACATGGCCTTCCTGTCCCAGGGCTTGGTCATTTCCCTGAACACAGGGTCAAGAACACTGGCCTCCCTTCCAGCTTCTTGGCTAAACACAAGACTGCTCTCCTCAGTCTGTAAAATAGGTGTGAGGGGCTGTTCAAATCTCAAAACCCCTGCAAAGCTCATTGTGACCCTTAGCCTGACTGGGCCAGACCCAGGGGCTGGACCTCAGCAGCCAAAGCCAGTGGAGGATGGTCAGAAAGGACAGGTGAAGCCCAAAACTGAGAGGGAGAGACAATGGTGGGGGGGAGAAGCAGCTGGGTGAGGCTCACCAAGGAGAGGGATCTCAAGGCAGCTTGGTGGCTGGAGGATGGGACAAGGCAGCAGGTGGCCGTGGGCACTGTCCTGTGAGTCCCTGGAGCCACCGAAGAGGACAGGTGGTGGGAGGGGCAGTCAGGTCAGGTGGGTTCCAGGTGTGCGCAGAGTGGCCTGGACAGGGTAGAGGCCAGCACACGCTCAAGACCATGATGTGGGTGGGTGATGAGGAAGCAGTAGGCTCGTCTTCTGGGGACCCCACCCCTGTGCACATGCAGGCCCTCTTGTCCTCCTCCCCACGACTTGGGCCTCACAAAGGGCAGGCCTCTGCCAGGCCGCAGCCCCAGCCTCACAGCCGCTCTGTCCTCCCGCAGCCACGTCCTCCGGCTGTGGAGGGCCCTGGGTGCTGAGCCGCTCTTGAGCCGCTCTGTGCTGACCACACTGCTGGCCTGGCTGCAGGAGCGACCCCTGCCCGTCACAGCCAGTGACAGCTGTCTGCAGCCGCAGGACAAGGCCCACCTGCGCTCTCTGGCCGTGAGTCCCTGACCCCACACCATCTCCAGCCTCCAGTGGGCTGCCAGTACACACTTCATCCAGACAGGGCCAGGCCCCTGGGAGGGGACCCCAGCAAGCTTCAAAGCCTGGTTAGCCCTCACCAGGAGGGAGGGCTAGTGGAAGTGGGCAGACTGGGCCTAAAGGGCTTGGTCTTGAGACTGAAGGAGGGGCCAGGAGATTTCTGGAGAAGATGGTTAGTAGTGGGACCACTGGACAATGGCCCAGGCCCTGACTTGGGAGCCTCACACTCGCCCCTGTGCCCACAGGCCATGAACACGGTCTATAAACTGCAGTTTGCCCGAGAGTTCAAGGCAGCTGTGCAGGAGGCTTTCCCCAGACTCTTCCTGGTCCTGCTCAGCCAGGTGCACTATGTCTTGGAGCTGGACTTACTCCAGGAGCTGAAGCCCCCACAGTCGCTGCCACTCCAGGAGCTGCCAAAACCCCAGGAAGCCTCCATGCTCTGCCCCCAAAGGTGAGACAGACACTGCATCCTGACAAGGCCGGGCAGCGGGCTGCTGGCTGTGGGGGGCAGACTGGACCACATGCTCACCAGAGACCAGAGAAGGACCCACAGGCAACACCCACAGTCCTGGATGCTCATGGCTGTTTCCACCCAACTTGCAGCCTCACCCAGGGGAGAAGGGTATTTCTTACCCTCCCATTTACAGACAGGGAAACTGAGGCTCACAGGGGACCAGAGGATCCTGGGAGCCTCAAGGACGTCAGCAGGGTGGCCCTCCGTACCCCCCAGTGTCCTTCAGGGCCCCCACTGTGGGAGCCTCGCCTGCCCCATGACACAAACCACCAGCACACATTTGAGGCAAGTCCTTAGTCTTTAAAGGCACAGGACCAACCTTTTCCTTTGTTCGCCTTCCAGTGAGCGTCAGGCATTCAGCGGGAGCCACCTGCCCACACCCCAAATTTCTCAGAAAGTCCCTGAATCTGAACTCACGCAGGGCTCTTTGACTCAGATCAGCCCTAAGACGCATGAATCTTCCCTAATGAGCTAATAAAAAGTTCTCCTGTGGAAGTGAGTGAGGAGAGCTAAACGCGGACAGCTGTCTGCTGCTCTTCCCCAGGGAGACCAAGGAGTCTCAGACCTCTCCTCCCTGCGCCTGTGCCTCAGTGACCTCCCCTCACTGCCCTGCCCCCTCGCTGTCCCACCCCCACCACTCCGCCC